GATGTGTTGGGCACTGATTAATTGATCCATATACAGCCTAAACAAACACCCCTTCTTTATGTATCGTGCTGGAGGCTGCCTCCAGAACTGTGTAAGAAAACTACAGGCAAATAATCCATTTATTGTATCAATTGCTGCCATTTGAAGTTTGACATTTTTGCAACTGTCCTGACGAATGCAAAGTGTAAAGCTCCAGCAACACATCTATCAGAAACTGTCGAGTTCTGTACAACCAGGAGGATGAGTCCAATTGGTTTTGGGGCTGGACTACCATACGGCATGAGTTGAAATCTTGTTATAGGAAGTTATCAAATGAAATTAGATTATTCTGGTAGTTTGTGACACCAGGAAACAAATTATGACAGAAACTGCCAGATTGTCGTAACTGGTTCATTAAAGATCTTCAGGTACAGGGATCTGCTGCCTTGATCCTTATCTGAGCCATCTGTGGAACCAGTCCTAGAGAAATTGAACATAAGCAAGAAGCGCAACCTTGCTACTGTCGCACACGTTACAAAAACAAATGTGATTTGAGGTTATGTACAACTTAGGAGCAGGAGGAAGCCACTTAGTCCCTTTGGACTGCTTTGCCATGCAACAAGTTCATGGCAGATCTGATTACTTGATATTCCCAGCTATCAGCTAAAACTGATCTGGTTGGAATGTGATTACGGAGTTTGTTGAAATTATATTTTCTAATCAACATGTTGAGCGGTGTCATTCCACATCTCTGGAGCAGATGAAACATGAATCTCAGCCTCCCAGCCACTAGCACTGCACCACAAAGACCCAACTAGTCCTACTGAAGTGCTAGGAATCTAACAGCTGAGGGCAGCTGAAACTGATTGACCATCCATTGGACTCGTCATGAATAGGACCACTACAGTTCGTCAAGACATGCAAAAGTAATGCCACCCCAAATAGTAACTCCCATTTTGTCTGCAATTATTTCTATTTCAATCAGCTGTTGCAGTTAGTGTTTCAGCTTGGTGAGATTTTACTTCTTTATTGAGCCATTTGAGTTCTAATATCTCCCTACCCCACCAACACCAACATCCATATGGGATGGATAAAAACCAAAAGAACTGCGGATGCTGTAAATCAGGAACAAAAACAGAAGTTGCTGGAAAAGCTCAACAGGTCTGGCAACATTTGTGCAGAAAAAAGTCAGAGGTAACGTTTCAGGTCCAGTGACCCTTCCTCAGGAACACAAAACGTTAACTCTGATCTTTTCTTCACAGATGCTGCCAGACCGGCTGAGCTTTTCCAGCAACTTCTGTTTTTGATCCATATGGGATGCACCATTTTCCCCTCCATACTCGCATTCTGTTTTATCCTCACCACTTTACCATCCCTTGTCACTGCTGTAATCCTCCATCATCCACTCCCACTGCAATCACTGTACATTTTGATGAGACAAACCAGAGCAAGACTTGCACAGTTAATGATAGGGCCTTGGGGAGTGTTGCAGAACAGAGACCTAATTAGGTAACAGGTGCATAGTTCATTGAAAATTGCAAGACAGGTAGACAGAGTGGTGAAGGCAGCTTTTGGCACACTTGCCTTCATTGCTCAGACCACTGGAGTATCAGAGTTGGAACATCATGTTGCAGTTGTACAGGACGCTGGTGAAGCCACTTTTGGAATATTGTGTACAGTTCTGGTTTCCCTGCTTTAGGAAGAATATTATTAAATTGGAGAGGATGCAGAAAAGATTAACACAGATGTTACCGCGACTGGAGGGTTTGAGTGACCTTATAGAGGGTTATAAGATCATGAGGGGCATAGATGAGGTGAATTGCAAAGATTTTTTCCCTAGGATGGGAGGGAGTCCAAAACTAGACAGCATAATTATAAGATGAGAGAAGAAAGATTTAGAAGGGACCTGAGGGGAAACTTTTTCACCCAGAAGTGGTTCATATGTGGAATGAACTGCCAGAAGTAGTAATAGATGAAGGTACAGTTATAATATTTAAGACATTTGGACAGGTACACGAATAGGAAAAATTTAGAAGGACATGGACCAAGTGCAGGCAAATGGGATTCGTTTAGTTTGGGAAACTTGGTCTGCATGGACGAGTTGGACCGAAGGGTCTGCTTCCATACTGTATGACTCTATGGCTCCATGACTGTTTCTTAGGAGCTGCTGGATCGTCTCACTTCCCCTGATAAAAGCCACCAGCACCCAGATGTTCCTCGACCAACCCAACGTAACCCCACAAACCAACGCCAACAGAACCATATGCACTCCACACCTCAACTTCAAAACTTCCAACTACAACATACAGCCATCTCTGGGACTATTCCCTCCAATTCACTAGCACCCTTCCTACAGACCAAGCTCCAGATGCGAGTTGGCCTCAGTCTGGATGACCCTGCACCACACTAGACTTATTTCAGGACAGCAAAATTCAGACACACTGGAGCTCAATCCCTAAACTAACAGGATCAGACCCCTGGGTCTAACTGGTTACAGCCATACAGCTGTAAGGACAAAGCAGCAAGTAATGATCCCAGGCAGTGTTGGCTGACACCCGCAACTGCGTATGAGGCTAATTCGGAAACACACACAATTCTAGACTCTGTGTCAAACGAAGTTTGTACAGTGCCATTTGCAAAGGCTACACTGCACATGCATAGATAGGAAGCATTATATTGAAACTAGCTTCAGTTGAAGGGGTATATGAATAGTAAAGTGAGGAGGTATATGGGGAAGGGGGTTTGAGTGCAGGGAGTTGGGTGGGGATTGGGAGGAGCAAGACTAGCCCGCTGACCCTGTTTAAATGTGGATACATTGGTGTCAGGAGACACAAGTTGCCTGCTGCATGGTTTTTGCTATTGGGTTTCTGAGTCATTGAGTTTCTTGATTGGCTGTGAGTTAATTGCAAAATTGTAGTAAATGCCAGCTAGTTGTCTTATTAATTAGATGAAAATACACGAGTATTGACTTCTCAGCATCTAGTGGCATATTTGACCCACCACCTGAACCTTGTTGCTTAAGGTTTCCCGATGGTGGCCATCTGATTTTTGGCCTTTTGTCTTGATTGAGTTCATTTGCTTGGCCATTCTTCTCATTGTGGTCAGGAGTGCACAATCCTGCTCATCACGTCAGTGGATTAAGAACTTAGCCAAAAGAGGTAAACTTCAAAGGAGAATGGAAGGTTAGAGAGACGGAAATATGTAAGGACGGCATTCTAGATTGCTCCAAGTTGCTGAACGTTCATTGTTTTGAAATCAAAATCTTGGAGCTATACCCTTAAACCGCACATATGGAGCATTTTCATCACACAAACTGCGGCAAGTTCACCATCAAGCTCTCAAAGAAAACTAAGGATAGCAACTAATGCTGATCAGATTAGTAATTCCCAATGCCATGAATGAAACAAATAAATAAATCTGTTTTGATCTAAGCAAAGCTTCAGAATCTTGTCCTGTTTTGATTACAGACCCATTTTTGGCATTTGAAGCTTAGAAGCTCCACCAAGAGGAATCACATCCCTAAACATCAGAAAACTGAGTGATGAAGAAAGCTTGGAAAACCTTGGCTCTTCAGGCATAGACAGAGATAGATCACAAGAAAAGACAGACTCGTACAGTACCTTAGCAAGGCTTTTTGATTTTGCAGTTAATTGAAATCCCACAAGCAGCAGTAACTGGTCTGATTGGCTGACTGGTTTTCATCTACGTCCCATTGGTAGTGGGAGAAAAATTACTTAGGATGCCAGGAAAAATATTTTCTGCAGCAAAATATGAGAAGCATTATGGAGTAAACACTATCTTTCAAGGAAATTATTCTTTAAACCAAAAACAGAATGCCCCCACTTATTTTAGCACAACCAAAGAAATATACTTCACAGGTTAATGCTAAATTTTCTCTTAATTAGATTTCAATTCTGCCAAAGTCAGCCCAAAATGCTTCTTAATCTTCATGGGTTTACTTCTGTTCATTGTCTTTCATAGCCTGGTAACTTCAAACCCCACAACTGACCTTCAAGGTAAGATCCCTCTGCTACAAGATGAATCTTCCAGCTTCATTTTAACTTTTCATGAACTTATTGTTTTCAGTCCGAGTATGTGTTTACACCAGTGTTCAAGCACAATAAACCATAGAAATTTTCAACCTCTAGCAGTCTCTTTGTCATTAGGAATTTGGCAGACTAACCTGTCTGTAATATATTTGCCAATAACCCTATATCACAATTGCTTTCTCTGTAACTTCACATTTCAAAGCCCGTCACAATGGCAACAGGAATCATGTGAGTCTTGTATCCAGGTAGATATCCTTAAGAGCTCAAGTATTTTTAATCTTCAAACTAAAATCACAGCAGTTTACAATCAGCTATTCTCAACATCTTTCTGGACAGCCATAGACTAACTACTGTTAACACATATGCTGTTGCCATTGTCTCCAGGTGTAAGCACTTTGCATCTCCTTCCCAGCAAAACAATCTGAGCTCACTTTAACCTTTAACAATTAAATCACACACACTTGTTGTCAGCAAATGTCAGAACAAATCACATGACCCCCATTTTACCCTAAATTAGAGACAACATCCCAAAACATAAGAAGCTCATAAATCTCATAATTGTAGCATCTTCCATCAAATGGACAACACCTCCAACAGTGCAGCACCCCTTCAGTACTACAGTGGGGAAGTCAGTCTAGAGTATGAAGATCTTAGGTCCAGTTTTGCAGAGGTTTACACGATAGCAGAGGGTAGAAAAAGGGAACTGCAGAACACTGTGCCAAATGAAAGTAGCATCAAAAGGACAGTGTTAAAGCAGAAGAAAATAAATTTAGACTTGAGGCAGGAAGTCCATCAGAGTGATCATTACTTAGTGTGTGAACTGGCAGATGATGGATTTGATACAGGTGGGGAGGTGTGTAAATCCACATGTTATTTAAGGAGCAGTTAGATGCTGTGATGATGGCGGGATGTATATTTATTCCTGATCAATGAGTCTGTGTTTTTCGATTGTCTATCCTTCTGTATACTAACCTGCATTCCACGTCCTTCGCAGTGCTTGACAGCTCATTGATTCCAAAATATGACTGTCCAGTGGAGGAGAAGTTTGATTTCTGTGCTATGGTTGTTTTTCAGATGGTAAAGGCGATGTCTCTGCTAAAAATGATATCCGTGTAGAAATAGTCCACAAGGATCACAATGGAACCCAGCAACCTGGAGAACAGACAACAATTAAAAATGTGATGGTAAGTTCACGACTTTGCCAGCAGCTGCCCTCATCCACATCCTCACTGACTTGATGGACAAAGGAACTGTGTAATGTGAAACAAGCAACAAGAAGCACATGGTTCAACTCCACGGTCCAAGACCCCATCCTGTCTGTACTAAACTAACTGATCACAGTCAGGGCAGTGATATCCAACTGTAACAAGAGTTACAGAATAGACCACTAAACCATGGTTCCTGCTTCTAAATATAAATATATTGAGAGTTCATATACTCAGTTTCTACTCAATTACCATGTACACTCAGTATAAATGCATAGCTGTATAGTACACATAGTATAATCAAGCTGTCCAACAGTGCACAATTACAGAGTGAGCACAGTTCCCACTTGCAAACTAACAGCATGAACACACAGTCTCACAGTGCACACTGACTGCATGAACGCCATACTATAACATACACTGACAGCATGAACACACAGTCCCACAGTGCATACTGACAGCATGAACAGATACTGAGGATAACCTCCATTGTAATGTGTGGCACTGTCAACATGCTAAATGAGACAGACTTTGAATACATCTATACAGTTTTACAATGTTTGCTTACAGTACAAACACACAGACCTTCTCCATACACTAAGAGTAAGAACACAGTCCACAGAATACACTGACAACATGAACAGAGTCCAAAGAATACACTGAAGTTTCAAAGAAATTAAACTGGATGGACCATCTAGCCTCAACCTAGGCACCAGAAATGACAACAGCTAAAACAGCGGTCACCCTGCAAAACCATCCTTACTAACATCTGGGGGATACTGCCAAAGTTGGGAGGGCTGTCTCAGATTAGTCAAGCAACGGCTTCAGTCATACTCACAGAATCATATCTGACAATGTTCCAAACGCCACCAGCACCGTCCCTGGATATGTCCTTTCCCACTGGCAAGACAGACCCAGCAGAGGTAGTGGCACACTGGAATACAATCGGGAGTGAGTTGCCCTGGAGTTAACAACATTGACTTTGGACAAGTCTCATGGCAACAAGTTAAACATGGCTAAGGAGACTTCCTGTTGATTACCAGATACCATTGTTCCTCAGCTGATGACTCAGTACTCCTCCACGTTGAATACACTTGGAGGAAGCACTGAGGCTGACAAGGATGCAGAATGTACTCTGGGTTGGTGATTTCAATGTCAACCATCTATACTGGCCTGACATCAGCATTACTGATTGGGTCTGAAAGGACCAAGCCGCTAGACTGGGTCTGGGGCATGTGGCAAAGGAAACAGGGGGAGAAACATATGTGACCTCATCCTTATCATCAATTTGACCATGGCAGTGTCAGTAAGAGTGAGTACTACACAGTCCTGGTGGAGACAAAGTCCCATCTTCAGACTGGGAATACCATCTGTCATGCTGTGTGGCACTACCACTGTGTTAGATGGGACAGACTTTGAACAGAGTTAGCAACTCAAGGCTTGAGTGCTGTGGGACATCAACAGAACTGTACTCCAACACAATCTGCAACCTTATGGCCTGACATATCCCTCACTTTACCATTATCATCAAACCAGGTGATCAACCCTGGTTGAATGGAGAGTGCAGGGGGGTATGCCAGGAGCAGCGCCAGGCATACCTAAAAATAAGGCACCAATCCAAATAGGACTACTTGCATCCATATATATTTTAAGGGTGGCACGGTGGCTCAGTGATTAGCTCTGCTGCCTCACAGTGCCAGGAACCCAGGTTCAATTCCACCCTCGGGCAACTGTCTGTGTGAAGTTTGCACATTCTCCCCGTGTCTGCGTGGGTTTCCTCCGGGTGCTCCGGTTTCCTTCCACAGTCCAAAGATGTGCATGCTAGGTGGATTGGCCATGCTACATTGCCCATAGTGTTGAGGGGTGTGTAGATTAGGTGGGTTATAGAGGGATGGGTCTGGGTGGGATGCTCTGAGGATCGGTGTGGACTTGTTGGGCCAAAGGGCCTGTTTCCATGCTGTAGGGATTCTACAGAACAATATAAGCAGCGAGTGATAGAGAGAGTTAAGCAATCCCATAACCAATGGATCAAATCTAAGCTCTGCAGTCCTGCTACATCCAGTCATTAAATGGTGGTAGGCAATTAAGCAACTCACTGGAGGAGGTGGCTCAACAAATATCTCCATCCTCAAAAATGGAAGAGTTTAGAACATCAGTGAAAAATATATGGCTGAAGCATTCGCAACAATCTTCAGCCAGAAGTGCCAAGTGGATGATCCATCTCAGCCCATGGTTGCCAACATCACAGACGCCAGTCTTCAGCCAATTCGATTCACTCCACGCGATATCAAGAAGTGGTTAAGGCAATGGATACTGCAAAGGCTATGGGCCCTAACAACATTTCAGCAATAATACTGAAGACTTGTGCTCCAGAACTTGCCAAATTCCTAGCCAAGCTGTTCCAGTACAGTTACGGCAGTGGCACCTATCTGACAATGTGAAAAATTGCGCATAAAAAGCAGGATAAATCCAACATGGTCAATTACTGCCCCATCAGTCTACTTTTGATCATTACTAAATTGATGAAAGGTATCATCAATAGTGCGATCAAGCAGCACCTGCTTAGCAACTACCTGCTCACTGATGTCCAGTTTAGGTTCCACCAGGGCCACTCAGCACCTGACCTCATTACAGCCTTGGTTCAAAATGGTCAAAGCATTGAATTCCAGAGGTGAAGTGAGAGTGACAGCCTTGATATCAAGGCTGTATTTGACCGAGTCTGGCATCAAAGATCCTGAGCAAAACAGGACTCATTGGGAATCGGGGAGAAACTCTCCGCGGGTTGAAGTGACATCTGGCACATAGAAAGATGGTTGTGGTTTCAGCAGGGCAGTCTACTCTGCAGGAGTTCTTCGGACTTGTGTCCTTGGCCCAACCATCTTCAGCTGGTTCATCAACAACCTTTCCTTCATAATAAGGTCAGAAGCGGGGGTGTTCGCCAATAATTGCACAATGTTCAGCACCATTCACAACTCCTCAGATAATGAAGCAATCCATGTTCAAATGCAACAAAATCTGGACGATATCCAGGCTTGTGCTGAAAGTAACGTTCATGCCACAGAAATGCCAGCCAATGAACATCTCCAATAAGAGAAAATCTAGACACTGTCCTTGATGTTCACTGGCGGTACCATCACTGATTACCCCCACTATTAACATCCCGGGTGTTACCACTGACCAGAAACTCAACTGGACTTACCATATTAATATAATGGCTACAACAGCAGCTCAGAGGCTAGGAATACTGCAGCAGGTAACCCTCCCAACTCTCCAAAGCATGTCCACCATTTGCAAGCCTTAAGTCAGGAGTGTGATGGAATACTCCCTACTTACCTGGATGAGTACACACTGACAATATGAGCACAGTCTTACGTACATATTGATAGTATGAACACTGTCCCAAACTATGCACTGACAGCATGTACATAGTGCCAGACTACACAATGACAGCATGAACACAGTCCTACAGTGCACACTGACAGTATGAACACAGTCTCTCAGTAAGCACTGAAAGCATGAACACATAATCCCTCTGTATGTGCTGACAGTATGAACACAGTCCAACAGTAAGTGCTGAAATTATGAATACATAGTCCCATAGTACACACTGACAGAATGAACACAATCCTACAGTACACACTGCTAGTATAAACACAGTCCCACAGGTCACAATGACAGCATGTATATTGTGCCAGACTGCACAATGACAGCATGAACAGTCCTACAGTGCACAGTGACAGAATGAACACATAGTCCTACAACATACACTGATAGCATAAACACACAGTCCCACAGTACAAGTCTTTTAAATTACTGGGAAGCAATTTTTTTTTTTTTCATATCTATATAATTCAGGTACTTTTTTCAGTGTCACACACCAGGATCATATCACCTTGCACTCACTTACACTTAGTCAACCATGCCACCTACCCATGTGGACCATTTCATGATTTTTATACCAAAGTTCGTCCCCTGAATCAAACTGCCTCTTGCTTGGTAGTCTTGTGTCCGGCACTGGCGTTTCTGATGCCATTTCAGCCTCCCTCCAATGGTCAGGAAGATCAGACTTAATCTGGTGCAGAGTCTTCTACCCATTAGCAACTCTGCCAGTGCTATTCCTGCAGCTGATTGCAGGGTGGTCCTATAACCAAATAAGAACCATGACAGTTTGTATCCAGTGAGGCTGCAGGCTGTTTCTTCAATCCAGCCTTCAAAAGTTTGGAATTTTCTGAAGAAGGGTCTCGACCTAAAACGTCAACTTTCCTGCTCCTCAGATGCCACCTGACCTGCTGTGTTCCTCCAGCTTCACACTGTGTTACTTCAAAGTTTGGACTGCTCTTTCTGCCAGGCCAATGAATGATAGGTGGTATGTTGAATTCCATTTGACTTTAGGAAATACCCAGATTCCCCACTGGTAAATAATGGCCCATTATCAATGACCAACACTTTTGGGACTCCATGTTTTAAAAAATATGCATGCAGGCGAATGGACTCTATGCATGTCCAAACACTTGACATGGGGTCTATAATGACTAAGAACAATGAACCCATGAAAGGGCCTGCATAGTCGACATGTAATGGAGTCTAAGATTTACCCGGTCATTCCTACAGATATGGGGAGCTGTTGGCAGTTACTTTTGTCCTTGTTGGTGCTCTGGGCACTGCCCCACCAACATGGCTATGTCTGCATCCAGGCCTGCCCATCAGACATAACTTCTTACCAACATCTTCATTTTGGAGACCACTGGATGGCCCAAGTGGAGTTCAGCCAGTATCTGGTGGCAACCTTTTCTTGGAACAATCACTCTTGCTTTCCATAACAATATGCCATCCTCTACTGTGAGCTGGTCTCTCTGGATCAAAAAAGGTTTCAATTCCAGTTGTGATGGACATTTGGTTTCCCCCATCACCACTAGTTGGGTTTTGAAAGGACTAGATTTTTCTGTGTCCAAAGTCTGACTTTGTTAGCTCGTAATGCATTCCACGCCCCGACCTCTCTCTGAGTAAAGAGCCTATCTCTGACATCTCCCCTGTACCTACCTCCACTCACTTTAAAACTATGCCCCCTCGTAATAGCTACCTCCACCCTATGAAAAAGTCTCTGGCTGTCCACTCTATCTATACCTCTGATCATTTTGTACACCTCTATCAAGTCACCTCTCATCCTTCGTCATTCTAAAGAGAAAAGCCCTTGCTCTCTCAACCTTTCCTCGTAAGACCTTCCCTCCATTCCAGGCAATATCCTGGTAAATCTCCTCTGCACTTTTTCCAATGCTTCCACATCTTTCCTGTAATGAGGTGAACGGAACTGGACACAATACTCCAGATGTGGCTGAACCAGGCTTTCGTATAGCTGGAACATAACTTCACGGCTCTTGAACTCAATCCCTCTAGTAATGAAAGCTAACACACTATACGCCTTCTTAACAACTCTCTCCACCAGGATGGCAGCTTTCAGGGAACTGTGAACATGAACCCCAAGATCTCTCTGCTCCTCCACACTGCCAAGAATCTTTCCGTTAACCCTGTATTCTGCTTTCAAGTTTGTCCTTCCAAAATGAATCACCTCACACTTCTCAGGGTTAAACTCCATCTGCCACTTCTCAGCCCAGCTCTGCATCCTATCAATGTCCCTTTGTAACCGAGGACAGCCCTCCGCACTGTCCACAACGCGACCCACCTTCATATCGTCCACGAACTTGCTAATACACCCTTCCACTCCTTCATCCAAATCATTTACAACAATCACAAATAGAAGAGAACCCAGAACAGATCCTTGTGGTACACCACTCGTAACTGAGCACCATGTTGAATATTTTCCATCCACTACGTGACTGGGAACATGTCCGGAAAATTTAATATCATTACAGACTCTTTCATTGGCGGCACCACCAGTGGTGCATCTGCTAATGGGATGCAGCTTAATGCATCCGCATTTGCTACTCGGCCTCTCTGACCGTGTTCTAACTTGTAATTATAAGCACTTAGTATTAGTGGGGCTTGGGATCGTAATATACCTTAACTATGTCTGTCAATTCTTGAAAGGTTTCAGTATCTGGTGCCTCAAGGGAAAGTCAGGCTCCTAATAACAAAAAACTGCAGCTCCACAGGCTGTCAGGAGAGTTACCCATTGCTTTTTGTTTGTCACAATGTCATTTGCCCAGAAATAATAACAGATTCTTTCCACGTTCTGGGCCCAGTACTCACCGGTAGGATTGAACGAGTCAGAGTCATACAGCACGGAAACAAACCCTTTGGTCCAACTTGTCCGTGTTGACCAGATATCCTAACTGATCTAGTCCCATTTGGCAGCATTTGGCCCATATCCCTCTAAACCATTTCTATTCATGTACCCATCCAGATGTTTTTAAATGCTGCAATTGTACAAGCCTCCACCAATTCCTTTGGCAATTCATTCAATACACGAACCACTCTCTGCATGAAAATGTTGCCCCTCAAGCCCTTTTTAAATCTTTCCCCTCTTACCTTAAACCTATGCCCTCCAGTTTGGTACTCTCCTACCCTTGGAAAAAGACCTTGGCAATTCACCCTATTCTTGCCCCTCATTTTTGTATAAATCTCTGTGAGGTCACCTGTCAGCTTCTGACATTCCAGGGAAAAAAGCCCCAGTCAATTCAGCCTCTCCCTATAGCTCAAATCCTTTAATCCCGGCAACATTCTTATAAATCTTTTCTGAGTCAAGCTTACCAAACAAAGGCATGATGTAAGAAACGCTTACTCGAAATGAAAGATGACTGTTGTAAGCAAGTTTCTTCAAGATCGTGCTTTACACTCATTGCTACTGAAATAATCCACAGAGGCCGGAATCCCATCACCAGGTCACCCCTTCATTTACACACAAATAGTCCTTGACTCTAGGACTGCACCATCCAGAGTCAGCTCTCAGGGGTGGCAGTTTCTCTGATACACCCCTTTTTATCTGTCAGCCAAGACTCCCTAATGGGACCAGATTAACAGGCCCAATCAGGGAACACATATTCTATGATGTCCACCTGCTGACCTCATTACAATCACTACAATTCAAATATGTGTTATCTGTAGATCTGAAGAACAAACATTAACAAACCCAGCGCTGCCCCCATGTGGGTTATCACTTCCGAGCCCTTCTGCTGTAAAGCAATATTCATTTACCCATTGTAGTTATTTTGATCAACCAATTTGGACATATCATGACATGCATTCAGGCTATATAAGATTCGAACTTGGACCTTCTAGCACTGAAGCAGGGACGCTGCCATAAAGTCAGAGTTATTCAGCATAGAAACATGCCCTTCAACCTATCATGTCTATGTCAACCAACAAACACCAAACTACACTAATTCCATTTACCTGCTTTTGGGTCTATAGCCTACAACAGCCTGGCATTTTAAGTGCCCATCCAGATCCTGCTTAAATGTTGTGAAAGTACATGCCTCCACCATCTCTCTCAGGCAACATGTTCCATATTTCTACCATCTTCTGGGTGAAAAAAAAATTCTCAGATCTTCTCTGAATCACTTACTCTTCACCTTAAACTTGTGCCCTCTGGTCTTAGACATACTCGATATGGGGAAAAGATCTCACAGTCTACCCTGCTATGCCTCTCATAATTTTGCCTACCTCAATCAAACTCCCCCTCAGCTTCCTTTGCTCCTCTACCCTTTGTAGATACATTACCCCTACACCACCAGGGCCCTCCTAACCTTTGTTTCCTGTCAACAAACCAGCTTTCTATCTGGGCTGTTGTATTTCTTCTTACTTCAGAAAGATGAATTTTATAACAAGTCTCCTGAGAGACAACTTATTAAATAGCTTCAAAGAAATTAATATGTACCAATATCCCCACTTATCTATCCTTTTCTGCAATCATCACAATTAAGTTTGTCAACTCAGCTTCCCTATAACAAAATTCTGATGACTCCTCAATTATTCTATCAAACTGGTAGGATCAACATTCCCTCTCTGGTTCCACACTTTGTGATAAACACACTGCCGCCAGTCCCAGCATCGACTTCCAGTTCTGGCAGAAGCTGTCAAGCATGGACCTCTGAGATCTATGCAGAGGAAAAAACAAATTAGTGGGAACGCTGGCAGGATGTTGATCTATTTGCCTGCAACTTACACAAGGCAGTTAATGTGCTATATTAATCTACCCATTCTTGAACTGCGATGGCACATTGGTTACTCTCCATACTTTAATTGCAGTTTGCATCAGGAGTATTGCCCTGTTCTTGTGTTGTGTTCCTTAGCAAAAAGAGTTACCACGCTCATATTGGATTGATAAGTGCTGTGGGTTCATTTTATTTCAAAATCTCAAACAGGCTTACTTAACAAACTGATAACTTGCATTTACAGAGCAACTTATGGACATATCCTTACTTAATTATGCTTCTCCTTGGAATCCTCATGGCTGCTGCATAGGTGGAGTCATCCTGGCCTTTTCTTCATTACCATAATCAGTTTTTAAAGCAATAGCACAACAAATATAGAACCAGGAGGTGACCATCAAGCCCCTGGAGACTTCCACTGGAAATCAGATTGTAGGAGATCTGCACATTGGCAGCATTTAGCTGCCTCTAAAGCACACAAATCAATATCCTTGCCTTCCTAATCTAAATCGATTGCTGTCTTCGGCTAAAGAATTAGATTTCTACTGCCTTTTATATTGAAGATCCTTCCTGATTTCTCCTAGATCCCTGGCTGAAATTTTAAGTTTATTTTCTCTTGGTCTCGATGCTGCATTTTCCCCCCTTGAGTACTTTTACAATTTTGAACTCCTCAATCTTCTCGCCTTAAGGGAATTCAAAACAAGTCAAGGAATCTCTCCTCGTGAATAAAACATCCATTTCAGTTTCTTGATAAATTAGAAAGAAATATTGCTCAAAACTCTTAAAACATGACTATTTGCAGAAACTTGAGTTGTGCTGAATGCAAATAGCACTTAAAATTCGCTGTTCTTTCGTACTGGTTTTGCCAATTTTTGAATGAATTTTGTTCAAAAGCCTGGTGTAGCTGAGTGTAAACTGGTGCAGCTGAGTGTAAACTGGTGCTTTTGTGGGTTTGTTGAAGCCCCAAATGATATAGTATGATATGTACCTCTATGGTCTAACTAGAAAATGTAATGATATTTTATCTCCCTTAACATTTATATTTGACAGTTATGGTAGCTCTTCCTTGCTTTATTGTTGTACTGTATAGAGTTTTTCCAGGTCTTGTGCCTGTATCTGTATTAGACTAGATACTTCAAATTGCCCAATGATTATCTGTTCTCAGTGGCTTAGTTAGTAATTTTCAAAGCCATCAACTCCCAGACTACACACATTTTCTTTCATGGGCCTCTGTTTTCTTTCTCCAAGCCTGCCTCATGGTATCCACATACTAGGGCAGTGTAGTGATGATGAAACAGAGCTAAAGTTTGTGTTAATTGACTGTCCTCCCAGTCTGTATTACTGCACTGTTTAAAGTCAGAAGTCACATGACTCCAGATTATAGTCCAACAAGTTCTTTCGTCAGGTGAAGTTACCCCAGTCCAACACCAGCAATTCCACATCATGCACTGTTTAAGGTACCCCTTTTTGCACAAAGGATCTTTGGCTTCAGTTCATACATAATGTCCGGTTGGTTTATCAGTTCAACTTGGATGTGGATCTATTTCTTTGGAGCACCACTTCATGATGCAACCTGTGGTACTAACACCACACCACTACTCACCATTTTGTAAATGTGGCATCCTTCAAGATCAAATTAATCAAGCACAGATGAGGATAGCCACCATACTGGTGTAACTAGAAGAATCTTATGGAGTAAATATTATGAAGTTGCATACATTACTGCAAATATTTATAGGTCACATGAATATGACATAAGTACAGAGACTATCAGGAGCACCTTGTCCCTTGTCTGTCTCCCGCATGTTTGTTCTTTACTCTGACCAAGTCCCTGTGCATCATCACTCCACAAATGATAATTTAAATTTAATATGCTTCCTTTGAAACATTATTTGTTTTTTAAATTTTAAAATATAGAAAGGAGGAATGGTACCTTTAATATGTCTTAGCCACAAGCCACCATTGGTTGTTACCCAGAGCCTGATACAACAGTTGAATAACCTAACTGATGAAGAAAAAAAACTTAGGAATTTGTTGTCAAGAGGCTAGGACAAGATGAAAAGAAAGAGGGATGATGATGATCATGTGTTGGTTACAGATCAACAGAGGAGAGTTTGAGCAGGACCCGGTGCTGAAACAACTGGAAGTTCTCAAGGAAGAGGAAAAGGACTATCAGCACATTAAGGTTCAGAGAATAAATATTCCAGTATTCAATGTAACATTAGTTCTCAAATTTATATTCATGGAAACTCTAATTGTGATCATCAGACCACCATCCCAATTGCAAGGAAGGGGAAATGAATGCAGAGATGGTGAGGCATATGTTGGGAGGGGAAACTTAATGTTGCCAGTGGCAGAATGGCGATGCTAAGTGGCTAACTGAACAGATTACATGGGGATTTAAGGATTGTTTCTTGCACCTGTAAACATTTTGCCCACGTCAGTGAGGGACTGCTGTAGTGACGGAACATTGCCAAGTGAATCTTAATATTCTCCCATTGGATTGCTGAATGCTTCCTCATTGGTGTCATGGCTCATGGAAGGAGTATATTCCTCCCACCATGCCCCTCCCAACCTCTGATGGCAATTGCTGCCTTTTAGAAACAAGGTCATCAATGCTCCATCCGTACACCCAATACACCAGGCCTTGGCTTCCACCAACATTATTCACCCACCACTGAGCTCACCAGACCATCGATAGATCCTGTCCTTGGAGCTGCAGTTCAATAATGCCACATGACTGGTGGTACTGCTGAAGTCATTGTGCTCAAGACCCATCAGTTTTTTTTCAGGGCGGTGTTCTGTACTCAAGACGCACCAGGGCCTGTGCTTCGACAGGGAAGAGGTACCCGGGCTGACTGCCCAAGCAATAGCGGTAACTGTATGAGTGGCCTATCAATCAAGACGGTCTATGCACCAAATGGTCAGCTTTGGATACTGCCAGAACATAAGTAATCTGGCGCTGCCCTCATTATGTCAAGTCATCTGGTTATTATATTTACATTTTGTTCCCATAGCAAGTTTCAGAGTGTGTTTGCAGGGACAGGAGAAACAGTGAGGCAAGGTCATCCTATTTTTGATGACTTTTTGATGGAAAGCAACTTGGAACAGGAGGGGGTTCTTCTACAACTTCCCAGATCTTTGGTCAGCTGGAAATAGGGTAATTGTGTGGAGCCCTCCAGACTGTGCCAGCACTGAATAAGAGCATGGTTGATCTGGACATCAACATCATTTTCCCACGTCAGCTCCAGCTGAGACACTGACTATTACCCAGAAAAATCTATCAATTTCAATCTCAAAATACGAAAGGGAATACCTGCATTTCTATCATGCCTTTCACAGCTGAGGCATATCTGTTGGTATGATGCAGGAAAGATGGTAGCCAATTTGCACACAGCAAGATCTAAACCATGAGATAATCACTTGTTACTGCTTGTTTTAACGAATTTACACAATACCTGAGGAAAATCAAAAGTTTTGGTGCCCACATTTTAAGTGAGAGTGAGAGGCTATAGTGCTGAAGCATAACAAGAACTACCAAGTAATTACAAATTAGAAAAGAGATATTAATAAGAGTAATAAACGTCCTCAACTGACATCATTAAAAACAGGTAACATTGCTGTTTATAACATTTTGCTATGAACAAAATGGCTTCCATATTTCCCTTTATTACAACAGCAACCGCAATTCTGAAATATTTCATTGGTTGTAAAGTGCCAAGGGTTGTCAAGGGTTCATCGAAGGAGAGGGAGAAATAAAAGATCTTAAAATGCAAGCTCCATCTTTAAGCTCTTTGCTCCAAAGCTGCACAAGAAAAGGTGAACTGCAACCAAAGTCCATCAGCAAAATGGATGCCTGCTGATGTACTGGCTATCATTTTTGTGCTGTATATTAAAGACATTTTTAACATGCCAGCACTCTCTCATAGGGCACACATCTGAATCATTCAAATTGGAATGTTTTTGTAAATGAGTCCATTTCCTTTTCTTCACAGGATCCTACCAATGGCTATTACAGCGTCCGCACCTTCCCAGACCTGCAGCCAGCCAGCAACACTGCCACTGTGGGGTGCCCTCCTGATCACAGGCCCAATGTGAAGCAGCGGGTGCCCACAGGGATGTCCTTCTCCACCCTCTACACACAGCTGAGTGCGGCCAACCGCATGTACGAGTATGGGCAGCGTTTCGTGCTGGGCAACGGCAGCAGCTCCATCGAGCTGTGCGAGCGGGAGTATCAACGGGGCTCCATGAGTGACAGTAACTCCTTCCTGGACAACCAGTGCAACAGCAGTGTCAGCAGCAACAGCAAACAGGACAGCTCGGTCCAGTTCGATGAGGCCAGCAAGGCCTCTGCCTCCTCCCACTACTCGCACTCCTCCTCGCAGAACTCAGATTTAACACGACCATTGCAGAGACGGATGCAGACCCATGTCTAACCTCTGGACTGATGGCAACTGTGGCACTGTTGACTCCCAACTTCACGGCTTTGCTTCTGCTCTTGAGCTTTCCCTGAGGGTGGGACCTTGAACAGATGCTTCCTGTTATGGTGGACACTTTATAGGTCAAGCTTCCCAATCCCCATCGATTTGGAACTGTATCATCACCACACGAAGTAGCCTAAGCATCGGAATTGAGAGACACTCTTGTTCCCACATTTTCTTCCCTTTCTGACTGGGCTGAACCTAATGTGGGACAGTGTCCTGTAGTAGCTAAGCTTAACTTAAGCTACATTGACTGTTTGATTAAAAACTGATTGATGTATGATAGTCTGCCAACGACAGGCAAATCAAGCCCACTCAGTTCTTTTAGGACATCTCTAACATCTGTGTCAAGGATTAGCCGTATTGTGATCTTGAAATGGTTGTGGCCATGGTGCCAGACTGAATTCTTCTACCCATCTCCCAGGCCTCCAGCAGCCCTGATTTGATCAGATCAGGTTCAATGGCCTCATTGTTAAGGCAGGAATTTACCTCTTAGCCTACCTGAAACACTGACAAGTGCACAAATCTTAATTTATTGGCTGCTGTTAATGAGGCTCTGGGAGGTAATCTGCTGACTGATAGACTAGATGGGTATCGCAGAACCCAGGGCCTGCTCTTCAGGCTTCAGTCATCCCTGCACTGGTCTGTGAAATCAGTGCACAGCCAGAGTGACAGGTACAGAGCTTAGTATGTGAGCTTCTGACTTTCCACAAAATGACACAATAGTAAGTGAAGGAGGAGAGCAGAAAGAGGAAAAATGTGTTTTTCAAGGTCTTCCTACCCTCATAAGGCAAAATCTAAATAGAATGTCCAGCCAAAACCATTCTTGTTGCAAAGTTCAGTTCTTTTCCAGTCCCTCCCTCAATCCCTGTTCTGTGCCTGTCTCATTCTACTGCCTTTCAGTCGGAGACTTCATCACTTCTCTTGAGCAGTTGTATCCAGAAAAGCACATTTATCCTCTGTCATCACAGCCATCAAGTGTGATGCAAACAGGGGCTCAGCTCTTGTACAAACAGATACTGGGCCCTGTGATCCTTGCTCTGCTAGATATCTGGGCCCTATGATCCCACACCCTGTACAATCAAATACAAAGCCCTGAGATCCGACTTCCATGCACTCAGATACTGGGCCCTCCAATTCTAGTTTCAGCACACCCAGATACTGAGCCCTTTGATCGCCACTCCTGCCCATGCATATATGGAGCTGTGCAATCCCAGCATCCTGCACAGACATTGGGCTGTGCTATTTTAGGAAGATGAGATCCAAACGCGGTTGGAAAGTCAATGCTTAGTCTGTCACATAGATAAGCTGTTGTGGCACCATTGTTAACAAAGCATTGGAAAATGTGTACAAAATATGTAAATAACTTTTTATCATCCTTTACAGTGGTTCACAACGTTTAAGTGTTGTTTCTCTCACATTGATTTGCATACGTGCTACATAGACCCCTCCAGTAGACCACAGTGTAACATTCCAATATTGTGGAGCAGTAAACGTCCTTCATGACATGCCATGTTATTCAGGTAAATATGTGGGCAATGCAACTGCCCTCTGTGTTAATAGATTAGGAACCACACTGCCATGAAACTTTAAGAATTTGTGAACAATTTATGTGAAGTATTGGTTACAGACAATGCATTTTTATAAGAATTTTTGAAATGATTTTAACAGAATTGTTTATGTGGTTGAGAGAGAGGATCATGCCAGTGCACCCTCAACTATGGCTGAGTAATTGGGATCCTTGACTCTATCGGCAATCCAGAGGTTGGGGTCTTAAATCAGGTCCATAGCAACTTCTCGAATTTGACAATCAATGAATACATATCTGGGACATTCTGTGGAGGACTGTACTGTGCACAGCACAACTTACTTCAAGGAAGACAAAACAACAGCAAAAGCAAAGTATTCAAAGTCCCCCACCATTTCAAATGCAAAATGAACTAATGTTTTAATTTGTAAGATTGGGAGTATTAATCTCCGGTATCAACAGCACCAGGCCTCCCAAGTTCCTAGGTCACTTCAGCCATGTCACGAAAGGTACTATACTTGGGCTTTGCTTCCTGGAGCAGCACCACAGTTAACATCTACATCCTCAGCCTAAAGTATGATATTAATCCTGTCTTACCATCAGGAAAGGAGTTAGGGAACCGAATTCTTGCCAATTCCTTAATTTTGACTTCTGCCAGTTTTGGTGGCAGTTGAGGCTCCTGTCAGATTCCCAGGCCAAAACCTTATTAATAAATGTAAATCAGGGCCCTGTGATACACATGGCACCCTGCTGGACCTCAGTCCCAATCCTGACGGAAAGCTGATCCAAGTTGTTGGAAGTCTAGCAAGACCTAGATAAGATCAGTTAAAACAAAACCCTTGCAGGAGGAAGAGGGCATCTAGAGAAGAATCTTTTCCCTTGCTGCCCACCCAGAGGGTAAAACCCATATAAAAATAGTAATTCCTGAAATGAAGGTACTGATCGTACTGCAGGGTCCTCCATTTACAGAGTACAAGAGGAGTCAGACCAGTGCCTCTTATTCACTAGTTTTATTACTTGTTTTTCTCCTTTGGGCATACAGGCTCTCTTCTTCAATAACCCTGTCTGCACTTCCCCTGCTACATGTAACCTGTCTTATCTCAGCATTGTCATACTGTCTTAGTTCCACCTGATCTCCATCCTGTCCTGCTGCCATTTTCTGCCCAGAAGCTAATCAAGCCCAGTCAACAATATCCCTAGGAGCTTTGACAAAGAATCCTGGTGTTGGATTGCTGTCTAATGGCTAAGTGCTACAACTCTCATCAGGAAGTTCTGGGTTTAAGTCTCACTCCAGAGAGATAAATAATGAACCTAGACAGACATTACAGTGCTGTGAATGAGGGAGTGCAGCAAGTGAGGGAGTACTGCAGTATTGGAGGTCTGCCTCTTGAAGGAAGCATAGAGCTGTCCTTCCAAAACCTAAATAATCTCACAGCACTAATTTAAAGATCAGGGGAGTCCCTCCAGTGTTCTGGCCAATGTATATCCCTCAATCTATATCACTAAAAATAGATGATCTTGTCATTATTACGTTACTGTTAATGCGAGTTTTCTGTGCACAAATTGTCACATTTCCAACGTTAAAACAGTGACTGTCCTTTAAATCCATCAAAGTGGCTGTGAAGTGCTTTGGGATATTCTGATGTTGTGAATCTATATGCAATTTTGTCTTTCTTGGAGATAACTTTGACCTTACAAAAGTGTGATTTGCACATTCTAGTGAAGATCTTGTGATGAAACAAGCCCTCAAATCAATGTGGTATTAACCAATTGCTTTATAATTTCCAACACCTTCTAGAATCTTCCATCAAAGGAATAACATAAGCCATTCAGGAGAAAAGGCAACAGAGTGTAGCTCAAAAAGCTAAATACTACAGATGCTGGAAATCTAAAAGAAAAACAGAAAATGCTGAAAACATTCAGCAGCCCTGGCAGTGTCTGTGGGAGGGAAATGATTCAGGACTCTGGTGTCTGATCAGAACAATTCCCGGTTTCGACATAAGATCCTGGTATAACTGTTGCAATGCACTAACTCCCATTGGGAGGCTTTCTAATGTTCGGTTAATAATATGCAAGTACCAGGCACATCAGCTGACAGGGTGTGTCTCTCTTCCCAAAGAAGGGAGACCTGACTCAAAAAGTCTGTAAGCCAATAAAATGAGAGAAAAAAAAAACACACAATCTCTAATAAAACTCTTACTTCTTCATTGAAATGGGACAGTACTTGGAGCAAAGCTGTACCCACCATGCCGCCCATACTCACTTTCGCCCTCCTGAAAAGTTAAATTCTGTGCCCGTGGTCCCAGTGGGTTTAACTGCATTTGATTTTTGTGCACTAAATCAGTGAAGATAAAATGTCAATAAATTATGCAAATAAAAAAATGAGAGACTCTTGTCACCCAGGTTTATAAAAACAGACACATACTGTGGTTCTGCACACTCATCTCCATGTTCATCAAAAAGCTGAAGGCAACTTTTCAGAATGCATTGTTATGGCTGCAGTTTAATCCTTTTCCATGGAATAATTTATCATTACGGCTTTCTTGGTTCTGGAATACAGTGTTAAGTTACTATGGAGATAGACACTGTTGAATTAGGCACTTTGGTATGAGCAGCTTGATTAATCCATGGCCTGCATGTCAAAGTTAGTTTTCTTAATCATAAGAGGTTCATAAAACCGTCTTTCCACCACAAACCAAATAAGGTGCTTCTTTTCAGGGTGTGAAAAGATTCAATCTTTTCATATTTTCATCTTTAACCTATCTGCATAATACACACAGGACTCTGCCAACTGCTTTTATCCACTCAATGTCTCCCTGCACCCCACCAGTGTCACCTCAATCCAATTCTGCAAATGGTACTGTCCCTCATCTACATAAAAACTGAACAGGACTAGCGCTGTAAATACTGAGGCTACAAGAGCAAGTCAGAGGATAGAAATCCTCTCGCGAATAACTTAGCTCCTGACTCCCCAAAGCATGTCCAAGGCACAAGTTTACAGCGTGATGGAATACATTCCACTTGTTTTAGTACAGCTCCAAACACACTCAAATAACTTGAAAATATTCAGGTTCCATGTACCCCATCAACCTTCAATGTTCACGCCTTCCGTCGCTAATGGAAATGGCAGCAGTGTATACTATCAAAAGATGCACTGCAGAAAGCCACCAAGGCTCGCTGACAATTCCTTGCAAATGTGGAAACTCTACCACCTAGAAAGGCAAGGGCAGCAGACATGTGGGAACCTCACTGCCTGCAAGTTCTCCTTCATGTCTCACATTGTCTTGGCTTAAAAAAAAATCCTTTTCCTTTACTGTTGCTAGATCAAAATGTTGGAATTCCCTCCCCTCAGCAGTACGGGTGTGCTTTTACTACACAGACTGCAGCAGATGATGGCTTATCACCACTCCTTCAAGGGCAATTACGGGTGGGCAAAAACATGGATCCTGCCAGTTATACGAAGGACTCAATAATTTTAAAAAATAAATACAGATCAGATCAGAGGAGTTGAACACTGTCACCTGAGGAGACCCTGAACTCCACTGAAATGCAAATGGAGCAGGTACGTGAACCTTATTAGTTTCACAGAAGTCAGTTTTTCTGATTGATCCTGCACCTGTGTCTTCAGCAGTTTAGTGTCCCTTCTTGCTGAACAGAAAGACAATGAGTTTGCTAGTAGTCATGATTTTCTGGCCCTCTCCTCAGCTTGCAGCTTCACTGAAGGTGTGTTTGTTAAGGAGAGAACAGTCTGATAGAGGCCCTGTTCACATCACTAGCAGACCTTTGAATTTAGCCACTCTCCCTCCTGGGATGATTTGAAATCCAGCTCCTAAGCCTCAACCTTAAAAGAAAGAGAGGATTGTATCTCATTGTTGAGAAAAAAATTACAATTTGATTTATTGTATCATGACCATTCAAAGATCCTCAGTAATAAGCACAACAGCATATTAAATGTAAATTTCACTGAAAGACTTTTACCTCAATGCAAAGATTGTAGAATTAGTATTTTTGCAGGTGATGTCTAGTCATCTGGTTAGCACTGTGCCCTTTGCAATCTTACAACATGTCTAAGAAATAAGTAGAGACTATCAATTTACCACAATTAAGTATTTAAAAAACATCATGAGACTGCAAAGGTTGTACAGTGGCTAGTCAGAGTCTGAGACCCAAATCTGGATAATCCTTCAAATGGGAGAGTTCACTGAAATCATAGATGTTTACAGTACAGACTAAAACTTTGTCTATGTCAGATTTACAAATTTATTCAATTTCCTTGCTCCATAACTGCTGAGCAATTAAATGATTTCCTTAGTAAGTTTTTTCTGATTTTTTTGAAAACTTTCCAGAGAATCAGCATCCCCAGCTTTTCAATTTGTATAAAGCAGATCATAACTCCAAATTAATAAACTTCTTTTTGTATTCCCCATTATTGTTTAATTTCCCAATTAAATATCCATCCCCTGGTTCAGCACTTATTGCCTGTTTCTCCCTATTTCCTCTAACAAAACCTATGTTAAATGTTCCCTTGACCTTACCTGCACCAAGAAAATCTATCCTAAATTCTCCACATTATTGTTATCTCTCATCCTTGGTACCATCTGGTAAATTTCCCCTATACATTGGGGAATTGAAACCATGTCTAATCAGCCATGATTTTATTGAATGGCCAATCAGGCTTAAAATGCTGAATAGCCTACTGGCTCCCCTAATTAAAATATTCATGTTTTTCAAAGTCTGAACTAAGTGCTGAACTGGCTTCTCCCCTCAAGACACTTTCTTCTTGTCTACTCTGTTCTGATTACACATCGTTGTGGGTTCCAGTAGTCACATTAGGGTCACAATTGTTTGGCTGAATCAGTGTGCATGGGCAAGTGGGGGAGTGGCATAAGGAAATTCTATGATATAACCTTGTGGACACTGCCCTGATTCTGCATCCCACACATGAATGCTGTGGAGAAGGTACAGAGGAGGTATACTAGGATGCTCCAGCAATTAGGTTATTCAGTTATGTGGAGAGATTGGAGATTGTTCTCCCAAGTACAGGAAGGGTTAGAAGGAGACTTAATAGACATATTCAAACTCATGGAGTTTTGAATAATCAAATAAGAAGAGCGAGCTGTGACATGCAAGTCAGTAATCGGAAGTTACAGACTTAAAATGATTCATAAAAGAATTGAAAGACAAATGACAATAAAACAATAAGGCAAAGGAGCAGTAGTAGGACATTCAGTCTATCAAGTCACTCTGTCATTCACTGAGATCACAGTTGATTTGATTAGCCTCAATTCTACTTTCTTGCCATTTCCCCATAAAGCGTATTTCTCTTACAAATTAAAAATGTGTCTATCCCAGACTTGAATATATTTAATGACCCAGCCCTCTGCGGTAAAGAATTTCACAGATTCACTAGCCTCAGAGAGAAATAAATTCTTTCTCATTGCTGTCTTAAGTGGGTGATGCCTTCCTTTGAGATTATGCTCTCTGGTCCTAGACTGTCCTATAAGGACAACCAACCTCTCCACATTCCTGTCAATAAGGTTGCCTCTCAATCTTCTAAATTCCATTCCCTCCATTCCTGGAATCTTTTTCATACGTTGGGTTTGTAGTGATTGGAATGAGGTCAGCCAGGTGGGCCTTGTAGAATATAAGTTCCCTGATTGGGGCTGTCAATCTGGTCCAATCAGAGAGCCCTGGCTGACAGATATGAACAGGAGTGTCAGGGCTTCTGTTCACTCAAGGAGCTGGCTCTGAGTTAGCTGGGTGAGTGTTATGTACTATGCACGTGTAAATAAAGGGTGACTTGGTGATGGGATACCAGTTTTCGTGGAGCTACTTCAGGGTTCTTATGATTTGAGATACACAACCTAATATCACAGGTAATCATATCCCTTAGGAAGTTTTAAAAGGCAGACATGGACCTGGAACTCTTCTGCCAAATTGTGTGGACAAAGCTGCAGAGTGGGTCTAATTCAACAGCTTGTTCACAAAGTCACAATCTTTCAATGATGAGATTCTCAGAATTCCTGCTAGAAGAGATCGAGAATGAAATACAGGAGATGTGTAAATGGCCATTTACGTTGCTTCTCTCAGCTTGATATGGACATAATATAGCTCAAGAGTTGGCATTCTCATCTTTGAATCAGAAGGTTGATAATACGAGCTTCACTCCAAAAACTTCTGCACAAAATGCGGCTGACCCTCCAATGTAGTGCAGATTGCCAGAAGCGCTATTTCTTAGATGGGATGATTGATGACCCTAATAGCTCTTTCACTCGACAGTTTAAGTTATCACAGTGTTAATTTGAGAACTGATGATATCTCCATATTATCCCAGAAATTTTTTATCCCTCAAACAATACCTGAAATGAAATTATTGGGATGTTATCTCATTGCTGTGGGATCTTGTCATATGTAGATTGGCTGCCATGTGCAATGGCTTTGTGTCATGCCATAGTTTTGAAAGGATTATAGAAATCCTTTATTTCTCTTTTGCATTATGATCCAGGTTGTAGAGTTGCACTGTTGCTCTCGTCTTATTAATCCATGGGTCACAACATAAAGTAACACTTTTCCTAGTTACTGAGATGGTTCATTACAATGAAATAAGCTCAATATTACATTGTTTTGGATAAGATAAATTTCTGTCAAGTTTTTTGGAGGGATTCACATTGCAAATCTAGCAAGATTTCTCACTGTTTTTCATCAAGTATACCTCAATAACTACTTATCCCACTCCTATGGCATTCTTCATATCAGATTCTAACCTCACACTACCACGTATGGTTAGAACAACTTGCCATTCAACAGCTACTTGTCAAAACATCAGCATCTTTTGTGTCTGTACCATCTTTGAAAGGACATTCTGCACCCAGACAAGCATTGACAATCCAGTTTACCCTGTCATCTCTAACGTGATGGCACAGAAGCCTCGAAGCCACGTATGGGAACATCATGTACTAACACGCAATCAGACAATTTAAAATATGAGCTTGTATTTATAGCCACCAAAAGGAAACATAAACAAAACCACAGAGGCTTCAGTTCACGCTCCCCCGCCCACCCCCCTCAATGCAAACTATGCGCAGGCAATATGACAAACAACTATTTAATAGTCTATAATGGTCTGCTGCACCCAATTCCCATTTATTGAAAGTGGGTCGACTGCCAAGAAGACAGCTCCCATTGTTCCAGCTCCTCAGTAACCAGGACAGTACCTCATTGCCACACTCTGTCCAGAATGTACTGGAGATGATTCCTCAACCCCTGCTGCCCCACCACTTCTGAACAGGCCAAGTTGTAAAACCACATCTTCAGCAGCCCTGAGATAACAAGGTGTAGAACTGAATGAACACAGCAGGCCAAGCAGTATCAGAGGAACAGGAAAGCTGATGTTTCGGGTCTGGACCCTTCTTCAGAAATGGGGGAGGGGAAGGGGAATCTGAAATAAATAGAGAGAGAGGGGGTGGTGGATGGAAGATGGATAAAGGAGCAGATAGGTGGAGAGGAGACAGACAGGTTAAAGGGGCGGGGATGGAGACAGTAAAGGTGAGTGTAGGTGGGGAGTTAGGGTGGGGGTAGGTCAGTCCAGGGAGGATGGACAGGTCAAGGGGGCGGGATGAGGTTAGTAGGTAGGAGATGGGGGTGCGGCTTGAGGTGGGAGGAGGGGATAGGTGGGAGAAAGGACGGACAGGTTAGGGAGGCTGGGACGAGCTGGGCTGGTTTTGGGATGCGGTCGGAGGGAGGGGAGATTTTGAAGCTTGTGAAGTCCACATTGATACCATTGGGCTGCAGGGTTCCCAAGCGAAATATGAGGTATGTTCCTGCAACCTTCGGGTGGCATCGTTGCGGCACTGGAGGAGGCCCAGGATGGACATGTTGTCCGAGGAGTGGGAAGGGGAGTTGAAGTGGTTCGTGACTGGGAGGTACAGCCGTTTGTCGCGAACCGAGCGTAGGTGTTTCACAAAGTGGTCTCCAAGCCTCTGCTTGGTTTCCCCGATGTACAGGAGGCCACATCTGGAACAGCGGATACAGTATACCACATTAGCAGATGTGCAGGTGAACATCTGTTTGATGTGGAAGGTTTTCTTGGGGCCTGGGATGGGGGTGAGGGGGGAGGTGTAGGGGCAGGTGTAGCACTTCCTGCGGTTGCAGGGAAAAGTGCCGGGGGTGGTGGGGCTGGTGGGGAGTGTGAAGTGGACAAGGGAGTCACTGAGAGAGTGGTCCCTCTGGAAGGCAGATAAGGGTGGGGAGGGAAAAATGTCTTTGGTAGTGGGGTCAGATTGCAGATGGCGGAAGTGCCGGAAGATGATGCATTGGATCCAGAGGTTGGTGGGGTGGTACGTGAGGATGAGAGGGATTCTGTTTTGGTTGTTATTGCGGGGAGGGGGTGTGAGGGATGAGTTGCGGGAAATGCGAGAGACACAGTCGAGGGCGTTTTCGACCACTGTGGAGGGCAAGTTGTGGTCCTTGAAAAACGAGGACATCTGGGATGTCCAGGAGTGGAATGCCTCATCTTGGGAGCAGATGCGACGGAGGCAAAGGAATTGGGAATAGGGGATGGCATTTTTGCAGGAAGGTGGGTGAGAGGCAGTGTGTTCTAGGTAGCTGTGGGAGTCGGTAGGCTTGAAATGGATATCAATTTCCAGGTGGTTGCCAGAGATGGAAACAGAGAGGTCCAGGAAGGAGAGAGAGGTATCGGAGATGGTCCACGTGAACTTAAGGTTGGGGTGGAAGGTGTTAGTGAAGTGGATGAACTGTTCGAGCTCCTCGTGGGAGCACAAGGCGGCGCTGATACAGTCATCAATGTAACGGAGGAAGAGGTGGGGGATAGGGCCAGTGTAGCTTCGGAAAAAGGACTGTTCCACTGAGTCAGGTCTCAGAGGGGTCATTGGTGGCATTACTTGCAGATATGGGCTACACACACCCCTCCATACCATGAGGCATACAGTGGGCTAATAACACCATTCATTCTGCTTCAGCCTCAGCGTGGGCTGAGTGACCAAGGCATTCCATCAAAAGGGACTGTCTGCTGTGTTCTGACCCTGTCCCGATCCCAAACCCACATCAATCATGAAATTTTCCACTGCATTCAGTACAGATAATCATTATACTTACACTACAGATGAAGAAATAATGGTCCCCCCATCCTACAGCCCTTTTAGAAATTGTATGATTAGTAGTTCAACACTGGCCAGCATTGGCTTCTTTTAACATCACTGGCATCTCAATGATGCTACAGTTAGTGGCTATGTTTAATTTGCAAGGGCCAATGGCATGGTGCAATCTGCACTTGACCAGCATCTGAATGCTAAGCACCTTGACTTTGTATGCGTAGCAAATAAGCAATGATATTTCAAATTAAATGTAGATATGGGTTACAAATGGTTGTTTCCTGCGTTTGCCCCTTTAATGCCCTATTGTCCGGCAAAGTTGGAGCCCATGCTTTCACCCATCAAGTTGGCATTAATGTGCCTCCACGGGTCTTCTAGCCATTTCCTGGTTTAATTTCTCACCTGGAGAATGATAAGAGATTTCCTGGACTTTTTTTACTGGCCCTACAGGACCTACTCTTGTCCATTCCCCAGGCTGTAGCTGGACATATATCCTGATCATGAGTAGCCCAAGC